GATCGGTTTGACTGTTTGGGCCCACGGGAGACCAAGCTACACTGTCAGTGTGTGGACCACAAATAGAAAGAAAGCAAGAGAGAGAGAGAGGGTGGAGGGTCCCAGGGCTGGGAGGGAGGGATGGATGGATGGATGGATGAATTGATGGATGGTGGGAGAATGAGGGATGCAGAGCTGTGGGAGGAGGGGTGGATGCATTGAAAGAAAGAGAGGCAGACAAACAGAAGTAGAGAAGGACTGTCTCATCAGTGTGTGTACATATCAACATATGGACCACTGAACTTTCTTTTTCGTCTGTAGACCAGACTGGGAGATGGACACTGGGTGTTTGTGTGTGTGTGTGAGGGAGAGGCGACAGCAATGAGACAGGACAGAATAGGGGTGTATTAGCACTAGTGGACAGTCAGCAGTTTGCTCTGACCCTCTATAAAGCCCTGCTCCATTGTTTGTGGTGCTGGAGGCTTTAGCTGTGGCCCAGCAGGGCCTTGTTACTGGGCTTAGAGGGGCTGGACACTGGATACCAGTCAGACACAACTGCACCTCAAATGGAGCAACACATCCTCTGCTTGTGGCAGTTTATCACTGAGTGATCAGAAAATTAATTTAAAGGTTGAGGCTGGCATTAATTTGTGTTTTTCTTATTTTCAACACATGACATGAAAAGACCAAAACCAACAATTCATCTGTGCTCCAATACTTGTCCTTGTCTCCGTCTTTAGCTCAGAGTTTCCTATAAGATGTAAAGCTTTACTCAATCATTTCCGAAAAATTATCGACACTGTTTTTTTTTAGCAAACATTATTCAAACAGGGAGAAATAATATCTTGGGGACTATTTTGTTGGGCGAATTAATACATATTTGGTGTTCAAGTGAGCAGGCAGCAGGACAGTGTGTGTCATGTCATGCTAATGAAGGAACATGTCACCCAGGGCAACAGTGAGGCACACTGATGTGTTTGTCATAGTTTTTGGAAACAATGGCGCTCTATGGCTCAGGGGGAATAAGATGTACCAGGCTTTCATGGGATTTGTTGACAACAAGAAATATCGAATATGATCAGTTATCCTGCAACCAGAGGAGTCTGTGTAACATCTTCCATAATTACTTACACTTTTTTTAAAGTTGTATTTTTTTATATTTTTTGTACATTGACGTAATCCAGTTTTCAAATACTGGAAAACAAGAGAATGCTCTATTTAAACGATCCTGCTGGATTTTGTTGAGTTGTCATTAAAATTAAAATTTAAAGTTTAAAATACAACCATTAGCTTTGGGGAAGAAAAGTCTGTCTTGCTTGAAATCAGGCGATAATGAGTGAAATGGGTGGCCCCACCAACCAATCAGATGCAAGTAGTGAGAAGGGTTTAGATCCTTGTTAGTAGACGTGATTCATAGGAACCTGATCTAACTGCAAATTCACACTTTTTGTAGAGAGATTGATGTGACTGGAAGATGTATATGATGTGAATTCTGGTATTGTACAAAACTATAAACAAAACCTTGATCAAAACAACAGAACAATTAAAACATAATCAAGTAGCTGTTACTGCAAATTTATAGTAATTTTCTTGATGTTTGTAGTTTTGTTCTAAAAATATATAAGCCATAATAGTTTTGATAGGATATTAGCAATGTGAACAGTTGTGACAATACGTTATATAGTATTTGTTATTGCATCAGCAGTTGATTTCCCCAGATTTGTTTATATGTTATCCTCATAATTTATTATGTTAGATTTACTTTACACATTACTCAGTCTGTCCAAAGACATCAAAGGGTGGAGCATGGGAAATCGTTGGTGCCATAATGAATCATCCACTGAGGCCTACATATCAACAAATCCAAATTTCTGATGTGTTCTGCTTCTTTGCAGCCAAGAATGACGGGACCTTTGTGTGTTTCCATGGAACCATCTCTTGTCACAACAGATGAGTCGATCTGACCTGTGAGATTGGTGGTGATGATGTAATTCTTGCGACAAACAGGAAGTCTTGGTTTGTCTGTAATGGCTCCTCATCTGTGGAGCCTGTTAGTCCAACGCTGTTTCTTGGACAAGTCATTACCTCCAACTCCACCCTCAGCCCTGTCTCCTGCTTCCACCACAGTCCTTTCCTCTGTCTAATCAGAGGGAGAAGAGTCACTACTCTGCCTGAGCCCTCTTCATCTCTTCAGCTGCAGCTCTGTCACACAGCCCGGCTCAACCTGTGTTTCACGTTGATGCTGGATTGTAAGGCTTAAGAGTCACAGAACTAGGTTGACATTTGTTCACTGTATGATCAGATGAATTTCTACATTAATACAATAACTAGGCAAAGACCATGTAGTTTGGGCTGTATATTTTGTAGATGACACGTATTTACCAAGGCTACAGTCAGTTGTGCTGCATGTTCAGCCTGTGAAATTACATCCATACGGAGTCGACAACCTGAGTCGACTACACTCATCAAATCCATACCGTGTCAATTGAACAATACCAATTTCACATAGAAAGCACCAGTGAATATTAGTCAACCCAGTGATAACAATATCCAATATCACTGCCCTAAAACATGTCAATATATATTAGATGTTAAGTTAAACTTTGGTGCTGCATACTACGTTCACAAGAGTTCATGAGTCAAGTTTAAAGGAGCTATTTGTAAGTTTTGCTATTGTTAAATAGCTAACATTAGCATTAAAAGCCGTTTACTTACCAGTCCTGAAGAAACGTGAGTTCAGCATTAAACTTCATTCCTTCACTCACCAAGAGCCGTCTCCAGTTGTTTTGTTCTATTTCTATGATTTTTCTTGTACTGATGTTAACATGCTAACCAGTTAACTGTCTCGTCCCTTTCCCATATCAAGTCACTGTAGCCTCCACTCTGCCGTACGTATTATAATCTCTTGTCTTGTAAACACAACAGTGGCTGAAGCTCTTAACAAGACTGGTAAGTAAACAGTTGTTAATGCTAATGCCAGCTATGTAGCAATAGCAAAACTTACAAATAGCTGCTTTAACCAATCATGTCTCATTCTGAGCATTAGATTTAAATGTGATATTTAAACCTTTTAACTATGATGTGAAATCTTATGCTGTTCTGGCTGTTTGTCATGTTCACAGAGAACGAATGGGAAACTTGGACAAGGAGAAACTGAAGAAAGAAGTTACTGATTGGCACATGCACATTTAGAATCAGTAAGCCAGGTTTCTGTTGTTTGTTTTTATTAACTGTGCATTTGTTTTTACTATATTTACATTGCATTGTATGTTTTCTTTTTGTGTAAATAAACCTTTCTCAAAATGTTCACACTTGTTAGTTAACATTTCTTGGCGCAAGCTATTCTTTAGAGCATTTTTTTTTTAATTATGCTTTTAAAAAGTGATGGGGACGAAATAAGTGGTGAGGAAATCTCCTCAGTCTCTCCAGTGTCCCCACTGTAAATGACACCTATGGATTCCTGAAATGGCGCTGAATGTTGACAATGGATGTAACTTGTGAGTGTCCCATATAAGGACATAATTCCCAGGGCTACATGGGCAGGGGCACCTGACACCTGTAATAGTTTAGGATTAATTAGTCATTGGCATCGAGTGTTTTGAAGTGAGCCCTTGGTTTTAGAGGTGTTTTGACCTGTTGGTGGTGCTGGATGAAAAGTCAACACCTGACCAAATTTGTTAGGATTCATCCTCTGAGGACCATATATACTGACTGTCATCCCATTCAGTTCAATAGCTGTCAAGCTTTCACTCTGGACAAACGTTTTAAACAGACATACACACTCGAGTGTTACGCTACTTTCTTGCTGAAAACCACTTTAGTTAAATATCTTCAACATTTCAACATTATGTCTGTCAGGGTTCATTTTTTCACAGTGAATCATTCTAATACCCACCTTTCATCAAACACACCAGAATCTGAATTAAATCTGCACCATTGATCATTTTTATTTAAGTGGGTGTTGGCCTGATTGAACAAATCTGTGATTTCCACCCCACAGAGTATCTCAGAGAGAAAGTGTGACGCTTCATCAGGTCTCTGGGTGATAAATGTAGTTTCTGTTCTCATTAGTAGCGATGTTTGTCTGCCACATGCCTCAGTTAATCCCTACAAAGTGCAGAGTAGTTGAGAGCTGAGTCATCGAGGATGGAGCCAGTCACACACACACACACACACACACACACACACACACACACACACACACATACACACACACACATACACACACACACACACACACACACACACACACTTCACACACAGCTAAAGCCCTGAGAATCCTGTGGGTTTAACAGAAAGTGAGTCAGAAGGATCACACAGGTTCTTTCCTCGCGATGCCCACTCACAGCTCACACCTTCAAGCTTAAAAACTTTACTCGTCTACTTTCCCACCGTTCAGACACATGAATAATTTGTTTTGAGCCATGAATTGTCATTTTTATGAGGACACCATCCGCTGCTGTCAGAAAGGCCAAAAGACGGAGAGAGGGAAAGCAAACAAACCGACAGAAACCACAGTGGTTTCAGGGCAGTTACACCGAGTATAAGGGAACCATGAGGGGAACTCTGAGACACTAAATGATCCTTTGCAATTTACTTTTGACAAATAAATGTATTTTTACTGCTAATATTAATCAAGAACAGTACTTTGTGTTGCCAGCATCACCATGTGGAAGAGATTTTTGAAGAGGCGTATTTAGAGAGCCTCATCTTGGAAATAAGTTTTGGCAATCCCCTTTGGTGCTTCAGAAAAATATCATCTATTAAAGACCATGAATGAATCCCACCTGGTGAAACAGGTTGGTGTTGGCCCTTAAGATCCATGAATTTAGCTTAATCACACAGGAGAGAAGTGAGAAATGATCTAAATTGCTTGATTACATTCAGTGACACGGGCGGATGAGAGGAGAGACTGAGAGCTAAGAAACAGGAAGTTTTATTTCTTCCACCACAGAGGCCAACCACTGTTACAGTTTATTACTTGTGCAGTAAATACCAACAACAAGAAGGCCCAGCCTGTATAAAAATAATGCAATATCCTTTAATGTTTGTCATATATCCTGGATTGTCTGTTTACATATCATCCAATTTATCATTAAAATATTAAATGATCAAAATAGAAACCCGTAAAATAAACATGATGGCACCTGCTATGTCTTTGACATACAGTATGAACAAATCTTCCTCTGCACATTGTGACACACATTAAATCCATTTTTCAGGTGTGTGCGGTTGTAATGATACAGTTCTTCTCTTGGCTGCTGTGTTTGTTCGACGCTGACCGTGCCTAACGGAGAGAGAGAGAGAGCGAGAGTCCTTCAGTTAATATCAGTACTACAACGTACACACAGTATCACAGTGGTTTCCGTGAAGGTGAACCCGGACATGCTACAGATATAGACAGAAAGACGGACATCACTCACACTCATAAGTGCAGGTACAGTCTTACAGGCCTAAAGTAACAGGTGATGTGTAATAAGAGAGCAGCAAAACCCCCAGCCTGGCCTCTCCCATATTCTCTCCCTGTTTGCATCAGGTCAGTTCACAACATCAACAAACCACTCACAGGTTTTCTTTGAATCTGTTACTTTCACTGTTATGACTGTAGTTTTCATCTTTTTTGCATAGTTCACACTCACCTTCAGAGCAAAACATCACAGTAGCATCCATCTAGAAGGCAAACGTCATGAATCATTTATACGTGAATTAAATAACTTATGGCTTTATTCATTTAAAATACACTTTTCATGCTTTGTAGACTAGTGATGAGCCATAAGCAGGCTAGTGTGTATCCTCCTTTACATGAACTTCTATTTCTCTTCATTCTTTCTGCAATAACAGACCACTGAGCATCCAGACCAAAGTCAAACACTAAGATCAAACATTTACACCTGCACGCCTGTATTTATGTTTTTATGTATTGTTGTTATATGCATCTATTAGTTAAAGATAAATTGATGGACTATAGTGGAAGAACACTGATTAATAATATACTACCATTTAAACTGATGACTCATAAAATGAGAAACTCTTAGCCCTGAATTAAGGACTCTTTTTCTAATTAACCAGTTACACTAATAAGCTATTAATAAAATGCCATGGGTTTCTCACTTTATAATGAGCCGTCGATTAAAGACATCACCTACAGGGTTTCATCACAACCTGGCAATCCAAACGCTTCTTGTTAATATAGTAACACATGATAAAACATATAACTGCCTCATTAGGTGGCAACATGTCACCCACTGTTCATCCAGCCTGTTCTGAGCATGTAGTGGTTCCCCATCTCCCCCCAAACATCAGGCAGGTATGATCAGAACCAGCTGTGTTAAGGGACGGGTTTCCACCCTTTAATGTTCGCACCCTCGTCACCACACGTGTCCACTGAGAGGACGCTGTGGTAATTAAAGTGCAATTAGCTCAGTGACATTCTCCTGCTAAATCACACTGTAGACCGCACTGTGCTAAATGGTAGTATTATATGTTTTCTTATCTGCTATGTTTTTGTCATGTTTATCCTGGATCTATAATATTAATTATTTCAATTAAATATTAGAGGCCATTCTGTTTTTCATATGTTACTTGCCTTTTCTGTAATAAAGAAAACAACAAAAGAAAACAATCCTGGCAAAAGAAAAATACTACTTGAAGCCTCCTGTGGGAATTTCCCTGCCTCACAATATTTAGATTTTCTCATTTCATTTGTCAGTTCTCTTACTGCTCTGCTGCAGCTGTTTTACACCCTGCCTCTTTTGTCATGTGGATCCATTATCCAACACATTTTTCGTCTCCATCAATCTTGATTGTTGTTGCTCTGTGTTGAAGTGTGAGATTTCAATAAATTGCTTGTTGTTTGCTTGTTCACTGATTGCATCAATACGTACTTTGTTTTTCTAACTATTTTTTTTGTCTATTCTTTTTATCACTGTGCAGATCAATGTCATGAACAGAAAAGATTTTCATCTGAGGACAAACAGACTAACTCAAAATGATATCAGTTAAAATTTGATGTATAAATGTTTAAAGGTATCATATTTTATACTTTTCAGGTGTTTTATTTGAAGTTTTAATATTCATAAGAAGATATTTTTATGGTTTCATATAACAAAAACCATCTCAATGTAGTTTTACATTTCCTCTCTCAAGCTTCTCTCTGGAGCTCTAGTAACAACAGCTATTAGGTAAACACTCAGAAACCAAATCCTGCAAGGTTGGATGGTGGGTCCAGGTGGGCAGGGCTTGGTGACTGCTTTGTTGTGACATCACAAAGGTACAGAGGTCCTGACAGCTGGTTTTAGAATACAGGCTGTGTGCATTTCTCTGTGGACTGAGGCTTTGATGCTTTCACAATATCAATATAGAACCTAGACCTGCTTTATAATCAAACAACACATGGACATCTACCTTTATACTATATGGGACCTTTAATGTGCAGATTCTACTTTTTTCCACACACAGGATTAAATAGGAAATACGATTAGGAAAATAGTAAATTATGGTATAATTAAGTAATTAAGACTGAAACACACACACACACACACGTCAACACACAGTACCTGCTACAGGCTGGTTCTTTGGTCCTTCCTGCACATCTCTGCAGCTGAAACATCTGCATGGAGAGTAAAGATATAATCTGTCACAACATTGCTGAATAATTTCATCAGGGGATCTCCATTTTACTGGTTGGTCCTCAAGGCAGCATGCACGCCGCACGCACACGCACACACACACACACAAACACACTGAATTCGTCCCTTGGCAGCTCTTTCAAATTACAGCATTAGCTGTGTGGTGCAGCTGGATGCTGCAGTGATAAGAGCAGATGTGAATAAACAGTGTTCACTGCTCTTCAAAATCAAATTTGAACATCCAACAAACAGAAATCATTCCTGTATTTATATTTGCATGTTGAAGGTAACTTATTATTATTAGCAGTGTTGCAGTAGTGTTACTATTCTTACTATTCTTATTATTTTTCGCATAGTTATTGTTTTTACTTTATTATCATCTAATATTAGGTTATGTATTACTATTAAGAGGTTAAAACAAGTCATTAGCTTTGAATATGGAGCCAACACCATGGGGCCATTTACTGTATAAACAGCTTTATTTTCTTTCTCATACAGATAAGTATTGGAGCAAAAATCCTGTTTTTCCTTGACTCCTTGATTCAAAACAAATGTTTTGTCCAAGCCCGTTTCTACTGAAACACATTTCCTGCCATTTTTAATTTCTGGCAAAACACTTTTTACCATTTGTCCTGCAAATTTCAATCTTGTGTGTGTGTCCAGGAGGCCAGTGTGTTTGCACATATAAACCCTGATAATGACCGTTTTAAATGGCCACCGTGACCAACTAACATGACACACATAACTGGTGTTTGTAAGGTCACATAACCAAGTCAGTGGTAAGGCTGTACACCTGAACACTCACAGTGTACTAGAGCACCATCTATCAAATACCGCCAGGTCCACACACACACACACACACACACACACACACACACACACACACACACACACTTCATGGGTCGCTGGATGGGTGGGGGCTGCATGGTTTACAGGGAGACAGAAATAACCTCCTGGATTGGGCCCTGCTGCTCTGCCTCCATGGCCCCCGATGACACTGAATAGTTTACACACTGGGAAGTGACATGCAGGAGATACCTCAGGGTGCATGTGTTTGTCCTGCTTTAGCTACATTTGTGAGGAATAACACTTTGAAGCCAAATATTGTATAAATATAATATAATATTGTATATAATATCCATGGCTGAAAAATGCTGAAAACTGAGAACTTATGAACGATGGAGAAAGAGAGAGTAAGAGCAAGGGTCTCGTAAATTTAAAGAAACATTGATGGATTCTTTGTATTCGTGTAAAAACACCACACAGCTCGCTCTGCGTCAGTAGGAGTATTTATGAAACAGCACGTCTCAGTCTCTCACGTCTCACGTCTCAGACTGGTCTGCAGTCAGCAGAGACTGGGTGTGTTTGATTCTCACATTTAGACACACCCGTAAACAATCAGATCCAGTGGACCACAGCTGGAGCTTTTGCTCCAATGCTCTGGTCTGGACTGTGATTCAGGTAAGAAATATAATTAGTTAAAGACAGTAGATTTAGGAGAATAATGTACAAGCACCAAGATGAAACTATAACACTGGCCTTGTTTATTTCCATGTGTTTATGATCCATTTGTGCTGCAGTGAGAGGAGAGCAACACCGCAGGCTCGTCTGGTGATTTATTTTTCTTCTCTGGTGAAATTTGTATAAGATGTATAATTCAACTGAGCTCAGATTTTCAGCCTGAGTTGTACTGGATTGTAATTTTCTCTGGGATCCCAGGGGAGCCTCTGAGAGAGATGTGAAGTGAGACAAGCGGAGAGCCTGAACACTGTGTGAGTCTGTCGGTTCAAACCTGCACCAATGCTGCAGACAAGTGTTAGAAAACTGCCACTGCAACATGACACGCACAGAATAGGAGGAGTTTGATCATAAAGTCAGGAACAAAAATAACCAGTGACCATTGTGAGAAGTTACGGCCCTGTTGTTTTTCTGTACAGCACAGGTGCTGGTTGGTGAAGGCGTCTCTTTCGTGCTGCCTTCATGTGTCCTCACAGGTTCTTGCTACTAACTGTGGATGTTGTAATCACTTGTCATCACTGAGGTGCTTTTAGTCAGAAATAAAAGCATACTCACTTGTAAGACTTTACGTATTTAAAATAGAAAATCCATGAAAGATAAAATGTTAATCTTATCTTTATTGATTGGCTGACTGAATGCAAAATGGCTCAGCAAACCAATTTACATAAAATGGAAAATACAAACACGGCATGATAAATTATATACAATCAATAGTTACCACATGGCTAAATACTACAGTGATTATCTAGGCTATTCAAAATCCCCATTAATAACACACAGAGTTAAACTGCAGTATTTCTTGAAAGGGTAAAAAAAATATAAATCAATTATCTGTCATTAGAAAACAAAGAAGTGTGAAGTCACTCACCTCTCTTGAAATGAGGATGATGGATTATTGTAGGCTACTTTTACAAGTAAGGAGGTCACTGAATTGATTCATTGACTGCTGGAGATTTAACTTTCTTTTCCCTGGTTGATCTAAACTCTCCTCAGTTCTTTTAAAACCTTGTAAGCCTTCTTGGATGCGTGAGTGGAGTGAGCACAGAGAGCGGGCTTGGAGCAGAAAGTTGCAGCATGTGTGTGAACATGTTGTACCTTGAAGCCACCAGGCCGGCGGGGGTGAGCGGAGTAGCGGGACAAGGAGGACATGAGCCCGGCTTTAATCCGGGCGGAGCCGCTGAAACCGCAGAGACAGCAGTTTGAGTTCAACTGTGACAGTAACCGACTGTAACACATTATTATGACAGAATACTTTGTGTTTTCTCCTCTTTCTAAAACAGGAGGACTGTACGAGGCGTGTGGAGGGTTACCATTTACTGAGTGAACTGTAGAACCTTGATGAACACGCGCAGGCACCGTCATATCTCACTCATTAGGAACTATGCTGTATGTCTAATTATAGCCTATAGAGTTGGATGTAGTCAAGGTCAGCTGCAGGTTACAGCCCTATATGGTAAAGACTTGTTGGTGCGTTTATCCACAATAAACAAACTTGATGGGAAGTTGGAGAAAAACGTGAAAAAGGCGCGTTTCAAACAAAGGCTCTTACTAGGACAAAAAACCCTCATCTCAATCCACCTCTGATTTGATCGATATGGTCCTATATTCTCATACCTTCATTCCTCTGAAGTGGTCGCTCTGGTTTGGAGCTCCGCCTGGAAACTTCGCAGCCTCACCCACAGAAAGTGTCAGTCTTGGCGCACCGAAACACCAGCAGCATCTCCGCGCAGGAACACGCAAAAAACAAAAGTTGCTCGTCCATGATTACAGGTGGCATCAAACAGTGTTTTATCAAATCGTTCAGCAGTTCACAGGCTGACAAACAGACTCCCCAGTTCCACTTCAGCAGTGTCTATGCTGGGCTGTGCGCCGCCGCCATGTCCGCCCTGATGGCCGGTCCCGGTCCCGATAACGCTCCTCCTCCGCGCCGCTGTGCGCAGATGGAGGCTTATAGGAATGTATGGAGACAGAAAAGCCCAGCTGGTCTATTGTACTGTGTCTGGGAACAACCTGACAGCTCCACAGAAGAGACAACGTCACAGCAGGAGGCCAGAGGACACTACAGCTGCCCCCCTTACTGCTTTTATAATAACAGTGACACTATAGCGGCTCTTCATTTTTTCATTTCATTTTATTTTGTAGGTTTATTTCAATCCACTTGGATTTCAGTTATTTATCCAAGTGGGAACACGTTTAAAAGGTCACCCTTCCTACATACAGTGTTCAGACGTCCTCACTTCTGGTACTTTATTGTGTTATTGCCCATCAGTCTACTCTCAGTAACCCATAATGACAATATGAAAATAAGTAGGTTTTTTTTTTTTACAAATTCTTGCAAATATATTAAAAACCAAAAAGTGAACTCTCAGTTAGAGAAGTTTCCAGACTCTTTGCTGTGGTTCTCCACAATGTGATCAGCTGCTTCCTGTTTTGCTTTAAAGTCCCACAATTCACACTGCATGTCAGGACAAAAGCCACGTCATGAAGTCTAAGGAACTCTCTATAGACAGCTGTTGTAAACCTGTGGCGAGGCACAGATCAGAGCGAGCCATTTGCGAAGCTTTCAGTGTTTCCAGCAGCAGAGACGTCTCGATTATTGAGATATGGAAGAAGCTTGAAATCCCCGGGTCTCTTCCTAGAGTTTCCTGTTTGTCCAAACTGAGTAGGTCAACAAGAACCAAACAGTCACTGTAACAGAGCTTCAGAAATCCTCTGCAGAGGTGGGACCATCGGCCATCTCAGCAGTACTCTGTCATCAGGCCTGTGTGGTGGAGATGCTTGACAGAAACCATATTGAGTAAAAGGCACATGACAGCTGCTTTGAGTTTGCCAAGGAAGATTTTCTGTTCTGATGAGACAACAAACCTTTTGGGCTGAACTCCTATGCCTGGCGGACACCAGGCCCTGCTCCACCTGGCTAATACCATCCCTGTGGTGAAGCATGGTGGTGGCAGACTCATATTTTGGGGTATGCTTTTCATTGGCAGGGGCAGAGAGACCGGTCAGAACTGAGGGAAGGATGGATGCAGACAAATACAGAGAGGACCGTGAAGAAAACCTGCTCCAGAGCAGGAGATGCAAACTGCCTACAAACATCACTGTAAGTTCTTTTATTCATGCTGATCACACGTGAAGATTATTTAAGAACAGTATGTTCTGGACCAGTGAGGAGAGTATGAGGTGAAGCAAACCTCTTGTCTCTTGAACATCATACAACCATGGTACCTGAATCAGAAGCTTGTTGGCAGGAAATCAATAAAAGAGTTGGATAGAGTCCATTGTGCCATATAAATAAAAGCCGTGAATATATAGTGTGTGTATCAGAGAGCACATGAAGAACAAAGAACCGGTTGAAACAGGTTTGCCTGAATCAAAATCATTTATTGAGAATCATTGCTTTAAAAGGAGTTAGGAGATAATGAGATGTACATAATAATTGCTCCACAGCGTTTTTATAAACACGCTGCAGCTAGTAAACACGCTTCCTTGGACAGTTGCCATAACAACCATCTCTCCACTAATTAGTAGTTTCAATCACTCCACACAGTGGAAATTAAATTTGTTTTTCATCTACTGCTGCTGCAAACTTCCAGTCATTCATAAGTTTCATAAGTTTATTTTAAAACAGTCATGAAGACTGAGAGTGAATTTTAAAAACAGCACAGGCACAGCACGCCAGTCTGAGCATGAATTGATTATTCCAGATTCCAGCAAATTAAGAAAACACAGAATCTTTACTCCCTGAGATGAGTTGGGATGAAAAAAAAAAAAAAACTCCCATAGAGGCTGAAGTTGTATAAAAGAAAAGCATCGTGATTGATCTTTAATACGAGAGTGATCAATTAAAAGATCACTTAACATAAATGAGTATGGAAAGAATCTGAATGAAGCGTTCAAACAGCGCACCCTAGTGCTACCAGCACGATGTGACACAAACCACGCCATTAAACTATTAAGAGGTTTAAAGCCTGAGACCACTTCCTCCGGAGTGGGAAAGTGGTCTCAGGCTTTTGTTACTCTACAGTATCTGTTGGAGTTTTTTGTAAAGGTAACATTGTCTGTTCACTGTTTGTCAATGCTGGTAACAAGTCGCAGTACATTCTGACTGAAGACCTAGATCTGATGTTCCAGCAGGGTAAAAATAATGTTATTTGGCTTTTTATGCACACATGTAGCTTTGATAGGAAGAGCAAAGAAATGCAAAGACATTGTTGCCTCTTACCAAAAAAAAAAAAAAATACACCAGGCACCCATGTACAACCCTTGACAGTTAAGTGGTTTGATGGCACATTACTGTCAAATTGGAGTTTGGCACTAAAGCTGTGATAAGTCAAGTTTATTGAAGTTGACTCTCTTCCAAATAGGGTACCTGAGAAAGTGCATGAGACTTTGAAAACTAAAATAAATGTGCAACTATAACACTGTAATATCTGCGGTGCTGAAATGGTGTGTTTGTAAAAGTGGCTGTTGAAACTAACAGAAGTCTTTGAGGTTTGAGTTTTGGGTGACAGGGGTGCTGTAGTCAGAGCTCCAGTCCCTCTCAAACACAGCCTTCAGCTGTGATTGGACGGTCGGGTCCGAGGACCGTGATGCAGTCTGGTTGACAACCAACGCTGAGCCAGCTGTGTTCACAAAGTAGTCACCTGACCAATTAGATGTACCTGAAGACAGAAAGACAGATGTTACATTTCAGCCCATTCATCACTTGGACATGATAAATATTAGTGTGTACCATTAAATGTGTACAATCAGAGGTGACTAATGCTTCAAAATGAATGAATGAATTATTCTTTTAGCCTTTGAAGTGACTAAAAATGACTCAAGTTCCCAGAACAGTATTATAAAGTTACTATACAGTATTATGAAGTATTTTTTAAGCAAATGATAAAATGAATCATCCTTAAACAAAATGACATGTTATAAGGGAAGCAGAGCGAGTCCTCCTGTGAATACTGACACTGAAAAAAGCTACTCAAAAGCCAGTTACTAACAACATATGTTGTTATCCAATTGTGTTCCCCATGAACCATGCAGTGCATCTGCAGCCTCACCTATGTAAGCTATCTTGTCAGTCACCATGTACTTGTTGTGGTTGACTCTGGCGAAGGGAATCTCCTTCTGCTTGGGGTTGGCAGGCACCACAAACAGCCTCTGGATAAGGGAAACAAGAGGTCATCAGGATATTGTTTTTACTACATCATAATATGTACAACCTCCTTTGTCAGTTTTTTGTCATAAAGACATAAAGAAGAGGTACTCACCACCTGGATGTCTAGTTTGTTCATGGGGTCGTAAACTGAGGCCAGAGACTTCAGGAAGGGAAACATGACTGGCTGGGTGCTGGCCCAGCAGCTGATCAGCAGGCGCACCTTGACCCGCCTCTCGTATGCCACTCTCCTCAGCTGGGTGTCGATGTCTGCCCAGTACCTGCAGAGGGCGCCACATGCAGAGTATGAGGACATGGCACTATCACACTAACCATTCAATCACCCTTCAGCTGTGTTCCAGTTCATTAATACCTTATTAATTCTCAAAGGAAATGCTCAAGTCAACCCTGGTGCGACTACTGGGTGTTTTAATGAAACACCTTAAAGAAGGAAATGTAGGTTTCATTCATGGATTTCACTTGTTCTGCAGAATTTATTTAAATTACAAAGAAATTTCAAACAAGGATTTTGGATGACACATTTCTTCTCAAGTGTTTACACTCATTTCACATTTCTGTCCACTTTTTGAACACAACATGACTAACATGTGTTACTATGTGGTTAAAACTGACTTAAGAGGATGAAACAGATGCACTTAATCCTGGAGGTTATCAAAGATCTGAACTACAGTACCTGTAGGTACCGTAAAACCTAAATCTGACTCTTCTCAGCCATTCTCCCTGTAGTTACATCTGTACCTTTTAGGGTGTGAAAACTCCATGGTGGGCAGGTAGTTCATGACAGCAATGTAGATGAAGCTCTGGGCATCCTCCATCACACTGAGGATGGACTGAATGTCTGGGGTCCTGCCGGCTGCACAGAAGGACGGAGGGGAACTCTGCGAGAGAGAGTGACAGAGAAAACAAAGACATCTAGTTAATTATTTGGTCATTTTGAATCAATACAGGAGAGCATTCATAAAGTAAGTGTAAAGTCCTATTGGAATAATGGTACCGCTCGGTGGTCATTAGAAGTACACTGTAGATGTAATAAGATACTGAAGGGAGAGCACTGGAGACTTTTTATAATACAACTTAAATGATAAAACAAATGGTTTTACTAACACTAAAGTAATTACTGTGGGGAATGAAGGGAAAAGAAGTGACTATATGCTGCCACTTTAAATGTATTCTTTCTAGTTTGGTATTAAAGACTTTGGGGTTTTCAGTCTTCGGGATCAGCAATAGAAACAATCTCTCCTTCTTCCCTGTTTGTATCTCACCGACAGATAAACGTTGGACGGCGTGTTGTTGAGTGGCAGCTGGAGAGGTGTGTCCTTGTTGTAGAGTGTGGAGAAGCTGGAGGGCCAGGGTGATGGGATCTTCTGACTCTCTCCCAGGAACCAATAGGCCTCAAAGATCTTACCCAGGTCTGCAGCCAAACAGCTGCAGTTGTAGACCACCACGCCCAGCTCCTTCACCTGGAGACCACCAGCAGAACACACACACGTATTCTCAATCACAACTTTTTACAGCTTGTAGATTTTTTTAAAGGTTATTCTTTAGGGCATTTTTTTCTCTTTTTCAATAGCAACCGTGAGAGAGGCAGAGGCAATGGCAATGACAAAGCAGCAGAGTGACGACAAAGAATGTGACCGAGCCAACAAGAACTTCCCCCTCTGCCTGGACTGGGCACCAGACAACCTTTCACTGCCAGGACAGGATACAATGTGTGGGATTCTTCATCAGACTTTAATTCTGAACTACATACCTAAACAAAACATAATTTCTTATCCACTTCCTTTAATCGTTACACTAACAACCCAAACACTGATACCATGCACACAGCAAAAAAAAAAACATTGAGGTAATCCATTCCAATCCATGTAAACAAGAAAAAAAACAGTTTGTGAATCAGGCTACATTAGTGACACATCAGTCTGACCAACCTGTGTGTGTGTGTGTGTGTGTGTGTGTGTGTGTGTACCTGCGTGAGGGACCTCCAGTCCATGTTGGCACTGCCAATGTAAATGTGCTTCTTGTCCACCACCCAGAACTTGGTGTGAAGGACGCCTGAGGTGAGGTCTCTCATGTTAACTGTCCTGATGTCAGCCCCTGTAACGCACGGAAACAGAACTGTTTTAATTCTAGTTGTGAATTTGAATACATTAATAGGAATAGGAATAAATAAAAAGTATATAGAAAGTTTGGTTCATATGATTGGAATCGACATATCAAAAGCATAAGTATTTTAAAAGCAGAGCATCACCTGAATCGTTGAGCAGCCTGAGGTCGTCCTGCGGCTGACTCTCCTGTGGTCTGTTGACTGCGATCCGAACAGACAACTTCCCTGAAAGCTCAGCTAGTTTCTTCAGAATGGTTTCACCCTGTGCACAGCAAGAAAATAATTTCAATTTTGTAAATGCTAGGGGCAAAAAGAAAGCACTTGTTAAAAAAGTCACATTTCATTTCAGATTAAGACACAGAGGAAGAGGAAATTAAAGCAAAGACTCATGATAGATTCGTTGAGATAATTCTAAGTACCTAATTCTAAGATGTAACCCACTCACCTACTCCCATGAATCATGATGTAATGTTAGAGGAGTAAAAAAAAAAGTATGAAGACACATTCAGATCAGGTGTAAGGCTCTGAGGAGGTGTAAGGTGTGTGTATAACAGTCATTCTTTGCTGCTATTCACAGCTCAAGCTGACCTGATTGGCTGTTGGCTCATGAGTGCCGGTGTCCTTGTTGGTGAGTGTCCAATAGAAGGAGGCTATGTCGACACTGCTGCGAGCCTCGCTCACCAGATTGAGCCAAGCCTGGAAGATGGAGGGGTGAGTGGTGCTGGAATTAAACTCCAGCCCCTCAGGGATGCTCTCCACCAGAACAATCCTGACAGGGGACAGAGGAAATGTCTTGATGATAGTGATTAACATCTGTACTTCTGGTTCTGCCTGTTGAGTCTGACCGATATATCTAAAGTAGAAACGGTGTATATTTCTCAATTGTAAAATGTCTCACTCTGTTCATATCTTGCCACCAATTCTTAAAAAAACATAACAACAAACAACAACAAACACTGTTATGTCAATTTAACATTGACACTTAAAGTCCACTTATTTTCTTGCTATGGAGCTTTTGACCATATCCATGGAATGTGCAACTTGAGCGGGGGTTGTTTTGTCACCCTGTGTTTCCTAACAGTATTCACAGTAATGGAAAGTTAAAACATCTGCTGTTCCAGGACAACTGAGCATGTTTAATTTGTTAATGAAGACCATGTAATATGGTTACAAGCTTGGAACAAGCGAGTAAGCACACATTGAGTGGAGACAGTTTTGTCAGCTGCAGTTTCCAAACACAAGAGTGAACCACCAAGCTCAACATTTTAATATCATGTGCTTCTATATGTATGTATGTATGTATGTGTATTTATATACAGTATACATATATATGTAAAAACGAATGAAGGTAGATCAGGCGTAACATAAAAACATTATTTTAGTTTCAACAAATGTAACCATGTAAAAGGAATAACTAAATACAATTAATATTAATACTAAAAAGTGCTAAATTATTAAAGTTGATGACAGTTTGAAACATCAAAGCTGAATAAATGTGCTGGTCTCTTCAGGACTGTGTCCACGTGTGAGCAGATGTTTTCTTACTCGCAGGGGTCGTAGCAGGACTCGGCCTGGGGCAGACGGATGCTGCTGCTCGGGGCGGTGTGGGAGGATGAAACCCTCGGAGTCAGGAGGTTATAGACGGCCATGGCAGCCAGCAGCACAGTGGCTACAGTGGCCAGAGCTACCACACACCTGGAATACTGGAAAGAACGTGTTGATCGATGTTGAGTAAATCACGTTTATCTATGATTGTGCCGGTGTATTTCTTCTGTGTTGACAGCTTGTGTGTCTGCTGAAGTACCGCCAGTCAATACAAATGACTTAATTTGAGCCGGTCTGTATGTGTGTGTTTGTGTGTGGTCTGTAACGTACCAGGTGTGCTTTTCTGTCGTCTTGTCTCCTCCACTCCCCGTCCACCAGCTACAGGCATCAGAGGAATACATTAACACAATGACAGAGCAATTTCAGACTAAACAATAAACCTCTAATATAACATGAACACTGCCATTAAACAAAATAAGCAAGACCATTATTACACAATAAATGTGTCCATACAACTAGAGAATATTGATTTATTGATTGTGCCTCTGCGTAATCTAACATAGTGATTAATCAATTATAATTTTCAATATGATGATTCAAACTCCCCATGAACAGTCCAACCAATAGCTCTCGATTGCAATACTAGCAATCTTTATCAATTCGTCTGTTCATTTCTTTTTGAGCTTTGACCAGTAAATTCTTGGTATTTTCACTTGATAACTGCTTTAAGCAAATAATCAAACCCTATCAATCAAAGGTGGAAAATATTCAACAGTGATTCATTACTTGAACCAGAGCATGAAAAAACACCAAACTTACCTTATTGTAAGTGATGTCCATCTTCACGCTCAAGGACAAAATGACATCTGATTCAGTATCAGTCCTGTCAGCTCAGAGTCAGCAGCTCTGAGACCAAACACAGGAACAAAACATGTGATGTTACATCATGTCTTCATGTCTCTGTACAAAAGACTTAATGAATGACCTGCTGCATTAAAAGCTTTTACATGTTGGCAGCTCCGAATGCCAACAAGAGGTAAAAGATTTAACAACAGTACATTAAAAATCCTGTAGCATGACATTGAACAGTTGGGGATAAAAATGAGGTTTTAAGAAATTTATGAAGTGAATTTGACAATTGAATAACTGAAAAGGGAAAGTTTCTGTTTGAGTAAGAGATAATCATAAATAACTTTAACTTAATGTAGCTGCATCGTTATGAAACAATATGGCGATCTCAAACACTATTGTCTCTCCTTTAAAACACACACACACCTCTGCTTAACCTTTACAGACTTTACAAAGAGAAGCTTCTAGGTGTTTTCAACACCAGAGACAGAGAATAACCTGCACAGTTCATCTCTAGCACAAAGACACATACGGCTCCAGCTGCTGACAGGCTGCATGCAGGTCAACTGCACCAAAACACTGTGTATCATTAACTGTAAATAATAATGCTTAAAATAAAAATATGTGATCGTGACAAACCGTTTACTGGAATCTGAGGTCTTGTGATTGGATAAAGAAAGAGGAAGTATGGCAACTTAATTGCTGACAGCAGCAGGGTGCATCCCTAAACTAGCAGTCACATGAGTCGGAGTCTCCTCATAAAAACATGACTCAATACAGCTGCTGATATGGGACCATACAGTATACTGGACTGTTGAATAAAGGCTCTCCAACATGTTTGATTTTGTTTGTCGGGATTTTCTCCAAACTGATTTCAAAAAAGGCAAAACATGATCAGTAATATGGTTTTGACAAAATGCACAGGGGGTTTTTTTTCCAATCAAAAATTACACCAAACAACAAGTTTAGGAAGAGAGCAATAGAGCAGAATGTACCAACACACTCAGTTTATTTAAATACCACATTTGGTTCTCTCAAATTGCGTCCAGAAAGACATAAAATAACTTGTGTGGTTTGTTGCACATGAACGGTCACACAAAACAATTCATGCACTGCATGATATTGAAAACCAGACAATGCTGGGTTTTACCGTAACAGAGTTTGGAATGAGGAATCGTGACATTTTGAAATCTGACATACTTCAGATCTAAAACTGAAACTAGAAGACTAGCACTATTGGAGTCTGACAAAGATGTACAGGGTGAAACACTTTAATTCAGTGAAAACAACTGGAAGCTGTAACACAGTTCACACAGATTTTCCAGCACCTCAAACATTGTGAAGTTACTTTACTCTTCATGCACTGCGCTATACAAAGCAGATTCCCTATAATCTCTAGATTTAAAGTAAACAAAAAGGCTTCAAGCAAAGGGTGGTCTGGCTAGTGCACCAAATTACAACTGGCAGCAGAGGACAAAGAAGGCTTGTTTCTATCTGTGCAGAGGAACAAGCGAGTCAAGAGTTTTGGCTCAAGTTGTAGAAGGCAGAGTGAGTCAGAGAGGACTGCTCAATTCTTAAACTACCCAAAGAAAGAATAACAGAGCACCACACCTTATTTGTGAGCTTCAGAGTAGATAACACAGGGTTAGCTAACTAGTACAAGGCTAAACACATGAATGTAGTTCATGTAAGCGACTTTGAAGATTAGCAAATATTTGAAGACCTTAAAAACACAATCGGTTAGGAAGTAACTGCTCCAGTGTATAGTTAATGACAATAGGCAAAGCGACCTCTGATTGTAATGTTATGTTTTGTGTTAACAGTACTATAATTCCTATTAATAACCCACTGTAACTTTACTGAGCAACCGAAGAGTCGCTGACAGTGCAAAACAACAAAAACAACTCACTCTCAGCTAGTGAAAACTGTCAACCCACCTGTTCTCATGCGTCCAGGTTAATTAAAATCCCACATATAACAGCGTCAACGTCTGTTCCTTCTGCACAATAACATTTAAGGTAGTTGTTTCATTTTTAAATGATCAAACAAGTCTGAAGACACTCATTCACTGCACCGTTTAAGTGCCGATTTGGCTACAAACAGGATCGTGAAAGGAGAGGTGGTCATGTGATCTCAGCCGAACAGCCAATTGGAAGGGAGCTGACCGCGTGACATACAACGGGCACGTTACAGTAGTGCAGTTCTCACTTTTCACTAGCAGAGGGCGCTGTATATCCATGGCTGTGACACACACACACACACACACACACACACACACACACACACACACACACACACACACACACACACACACACACACACACACACACAAACATATTAATTAATCAGTGTACATTAAAACGTCACATTTGGCCATGTAACGTTCTCCTAACGTGTTAAAAGTCAGAACAGACAAATGATGTTTGATAAAAACTGTAGTTATGCGTGTTAACAGCCACGTTGCGTACAGTGGGCAGGGTCGGAATCTCGTCTGACCTCCGACCCCTGACCCGACTTCCAGGATGAAGCTCACCTGCAGCTTCTCTAAGCCGGACAGGTAAGAAGGGCAAACATTAGGCTAATTAGTGGCATTATGAAATACCGTTATGGATGCATAAACTGCCCATAAGCTCCGAATAAAGACTAACATCCACACGATGTTACAGGTAACACCTGGAGGCAGCGGTGATAACATTAGCATCACTAGCATCAACCTTAGCTTTTTTTGATGAACCAACTAAATGTTTGCGATAAAGTGAATGTCTTTTTAACTTGTGAAAAAGAAGCAGTTATTATTGTACACCCCGAGGTCTCTCAGACTGCTGGACCCTAATGTAAGTTAGTCTATCTGGCAAACATTTAACAAGCATTTACATTTGGCATTTTAAGCTAATCTTCTGTCCGTCCCTCAGCTGCAGTGAGGTCTCTAAACACCACAACTGGTCATTCTGTGTTTTAGATAATTGGTCACAGGTGAATTTGATTTCCCATTAGTTATTATAGCTATTATAGACCTGTAGCTGATATCAATACCACAATTAATTTAATGGGTGCTGATCTTGTCCTGGACGTTTAATCTCTCCTTGTGATGCCCTTTCCATAGTTTTTTTTCCAGCTCCAGCTTGTGCTTCTTAATTGTCTTCAAACAATGCACAGTCTGGGGCTAAATTTCTTAATGATTTGTTCAATTGAGAAGGGTATCGTCTTTATAATTTCAGTTTCATATAATTTTGGGGCTGCAAAGTACTTTGAGTGTAAGTAAATGTAAAGGCTATAGATACAAATAAAAAAATCACATTAATCTTCACTTATAGGTTTGTGTGTCCTTGGCATGTGCTGGGACTCTTTCTCTGATGACACTTTTTCCTCTCTTTTAACTTTTGATTTGATTTGTCTGTGCATCATGAACATTTTCCCATTAGGGACAACAACCAATTCAAAGGTCTTTGCACTAAAGACATATAAGATGGAAGTATTTTTTATCTTTTATTATTCACTTAAACACCTTTGCTGCATCGCACTTGTCCAAAATCCATCTCCCCTTGTGGACATCTCAATGTATTCAGTTTAGTCTGCATCACGCTTCTTGTTCAGCTCAAACTACCCACCTCCTCATAGGTCCTGCAGCGTCACAGTCAATCATAGATTAGATCAGATTATCTGTCTTCAGAGTAAATAAATATGTGATTGCTTATTTATCTAAACATTTTGTATACACTGTCTAATAAACACAATTTTCTTTCTTTCTTCTCAGCTTCCGTTTAGCCTCATTGAGTTTCCACCAGCAGAGATGAGCAGCACAGACAAAGGCCCCAAGTGAAGAGGTGAGAAATACTAAATTTGTAGAGAAGAACACCCAAGTCTGATTCCCTTGAATGTCAGACAGTAGCTGACCTGAGTATTGTAGTTAATATGTACACTACATGTATATAATGCATTCCCATATTTTGCCAAATAGGATTGTTCGTCGCAACAGTACTAATATTTCTCTCATCAGATTTTGTTTTCGATGCATCGCATGTCAAAATCACTTCATGCCCTCGTGTAGTGAACTGAGACATGTTTGTGACAAGCTCGTCAGCTCTATTTTCATCCATGTAAAACTGGAGTGGGAAGAAATGCAAACCCTTTCTTAGTGTCTCTTTCCATCAAAATGAAATTAAAAAGTAGTCACAAACACACTTTATGAACTGAAATCCCTATGGCCACATTCTCTGTATCTGGATGGTACAGGAGTTTTGTTGATTGCTTTGAAATTGTTCGGGTTAGTGAATATTGTATGTTGGAGAGGGTTGTGCTGTTGATTAAATGAGTTGAGTTATCTTCTGTGATGGAACGATGTGAGGATGAAGCATCTGAGGCATGATTTTTTTTTTTTTTTTCCCAGGCTTGTAATATGAACTACTTTGCTTCTGGTTGGCAGGTTTATATTGCTGTGCTGACAGTCTGTCTTTTCAACATGGATGTACAGCAGCCAAAGAAATAGATGCACAGTTGATGTGGTATATGTGTATTACCATTGTAGATGCACAAGCCAGCATAATTAATTTGTATTAATGTGGAGCATGCTTCTCTCTAAGGACTATAATTTGAAACTATTTACTAAAGCAATACTCCATGAGGGTCAGCAAGGGGTTGTAGTAACTGATTGTATATACTTCTGTTACTGTGCCTGAGTAACCTTTGGTATTTGATGCTTCTTTGAAGTATTTTTACTGAAAGCTGGACAGCTGAGGGGCCAGTAAACCATCTGTTAGTGAGGACAAGTCATCTGGCTTTCCTTTACTTGTGCAGTTTATTTTCCAATTTGATATGTTTCACCTAAAACTATCTAGTTTGATCTCTGTTTGCTCAGCCTTTTAACCACAGGTGGTTAGTCTATGATTCAACAGGGGGCGCCACAGTGCAAGTACAGCCTGGGATTTTTGAGATCTTCACACTGAGGGGATAATAGAGGGGGAAAGACAGAGAGTGTAGTTTATGGCTTATTGTTAATTCTTTTCCTGCCTACACTGTGCAATACAGAGTGACAGAGAATATCCATTAAAACAGTGGAATGTACCTTTATAAAAAGGTGTGGTAAATGGTCACATTTCCTTTTGTTTGCGGTGAAACCTGCCGTTTGATAAGAAAGAAAGAGCCAGACTTAAAGAATTCCAACATTAACACACACACACACACACACACACACACACACACACACACACACACACACACACACACACTTTTTCCCTTCTCTCTCCCTACTGTAGTGTAGCTTTTTTTGTTGTTGAGCAATATAAACATTTGCATTACAAAACAGTATTACTATTGCTAAGCATATTTTTAAGTATGTATTCTCACTTTGTGTATCATGTGCGTCTGTTCGTGTGTGTGTGTGTGTGTAACCATGGAGACGGGCCCAGAAATATCCTAGACAGTTTTATTTTTTTACAGCAACAGAGGCAGAGTTATGGCGAGGTTATAAAAAGCTGACATGCTTCACTTCCGCAGTCGAGGTCCCGTCTGTCTTCTCCCAGTCTCTGATGCTTTTCTCAGTTACCTGCACACATAACAAATTAATTTCTCAGATCTTTTGATCAGTTATCAGTTATTTTTAAGGTATTGATTTTCCAATTTAAATGTTGTTTTTTTTGTTAGCCCCGCTATTTTTTTTTTTTTTTTTTTTTTTTTTTTTACACAAATAATGTATAAAAGTTGAGAATCCAACAGTTAACGTGAGATTTCTTCCTACTTTGTTAACAGAGCAACATTCTTGCATTTTAACAGCTTTGTTTTGACAATGCAAAACTACCTCAGCAAGTACGTTTGTAAGGTGAGTAGTCACTTTGTAAGATGAGTGAAGATGTAAAATGAGTCAGTTTGCACCATCCCTGCTTAAATCTATTGTAAACACATCATATTCTCCTCAGCCTGTTGACAGCTAACGATGCCATAACTCCCTTTCATTTTCTTTTTTTTAAAATCAACTTCCTGAATCGCCAAGAGTGGGCTGACCGTGGATTAACGTACAATAAAAGTTTTATTTTCCTCTTGGAAGCCCAGTTTCACAGAGTAGGTGTGTTTATGTCCCTGTGATGAGACGTCAGGACTGAAGCCAGTGAGTCACAGAGCAGCTACCTGCGCTCACCTGTGCCTCTGCTTTTCATTCCTAACAGCACTTCCTTTTTTCACTGGCGTAGTTCTGCTTAAAGACGCTTTTTACCCAAATGACTTTGCCCTTTGCATTCTGTGTAACTGATCCTCTAATGACAACCCTGCAGTTGTGTTCAGGTGCTTAAATTGTATTTATGTTTCTGTTTGAAGTCCCCTCTTCACTACTTTGCAGTAAGTGTGGGACCACCAGGGGACCTGAGGGGGCTTCAGTGGCTCATTTAATCCACTATTTATTCTGTCCCTTACCGGATGCATACAAATCTGACGCATCTCATTTTACTGACTCTGACTCCAGAAGTGCTCCTGCCTTAACTTTATTAAATTGAATAAGCAAATAACACAAAATCAAAACAAATGATTCCTTATAAGACTTGTTCACACCTGTCTGGAAATGTGAGATAATGTAAATAACAACCCCCCACCACCCGCCACCACACCCCAGTCTTATTTCTTTTATCAAGTACAGAGTCTCTCTAAGGTTTGAGTCTGCTGTTTATGGCTGTGTGGGCCATAAACAGCGCTGACATCACCAAACCAGGCTGCTATTGGCTGGTGATCCTGTCGCTGGTGCATCAGTTTTGTTGTAGCTTTGTCATTCAGACTGCAAAACTGGAACGCAGATGTTTTTTCTCTTTTTTTGGTCACTACTCTTAACTCACGACAGTCAGATCCATGAAATTTTAGGATCTGGGTGTAGAGATTTACATACCACATTTCTTCAACAGTGTGTGTGCCCCTCCTTCTGCAGTACTTGAATATTTCTTCATTTAATTTTATAGCACTCTAGACTAAAAATCAACTTTAAAATATATAAATTGATTTCTTTTTTGATAGTTCTGACTGCATGCTCTTCTATATCCATTCTGCTAAAACAAAACTGTTTATGTTAGTTCCAGCTAAATTTATGTATTGATAGTGCTGAGACAATTAGTCATTAAACAGTTAGTTGATC